CTAGCGAACTTAGATTTTACTCTGTAGATGGTGAAGATTCATTGAAGAATCTTAACAAGAGGCTCCCGGGAAAAGATGTGTGCTTTAGACAGAACATTCTGGCATCATCAGTAATGATGAACTGGAGTGGAATAAACCTGGGGGCTGGGAGGCCATTGTGTTTATTTAGGTTAAAGATGCAAACGGGATCTCAATGCTTGCTAATTCCTGTCCCTGGCAGCATGCTCCCCACTAAAGCCCAGCCTCACATGCAAATCTGATCTGGCTACTATTATATTAAAATGCTTAGCTCCACTAACGAGTGGGGTCTAGAATTGTAGAATTGGTCTGCTCTCCAAGAGCTTAGAATCTGGGGTATATGAGGTGAACCCAGGGAGCCGAAGCCTTACACTGGGCCTGTCTCCTTTCACCTTGTATCCATGATTGTGCGTACCCCCGTCTCTATTTTCTGTTTGTGCTTCAGGTATCCCACAGGAGAGCTGTCCTGAGCTGTCCACTGAGTGACCAGCTGCCTGGACTAGGCCAGCTCATCCTGGCATGAAGGCCAGACCTTCCTCATCTTCACTTCTGGACACGGTTCTGCTCCTCACAGAAGGAGCTCCTGGAACCACAGATTCTGCCATTCACCCAAGTCCACATTCCCAGCATTGTCTGGAAGAGAAGAGCTAAGGCACGCTCTCTCTCCCCTCCCCTGGTCTCATGCCGTCAGTACCAATGGGCCTGGCAATCTTTCCCACTGGTTGTGGTTACAGCCTTAGGATCTCTTGCTACAAAGCACGTCGGGCAGCCACTCTTAAGGATCAGTATTGGCCATCAAGATGAAAGCCATTTGTCACCATTTGCTAGAAGGCCCTGCCTCTGGATGTCAATACTAGCCAGGAACACCACTCCACCACGGTCTTCCAGGTTGCACTGCTGGCCTGCCTGGGACCTCCTCTGGCCTCAGACCCACCTGCTCTTGGTTTCTCTCTTCTCTCTTCAATGTGGGCGTCTCTTGAGGCCAAGTCCACCTGAGACACAATTCCAAGACAGGAATTGCAAAGACACTTTGTCTTCCGGAATTTTGAAATCTTGGGAGACCCAGTCAAGCCTTTGGTCAGCCACTATGTGTTCTTCTCCCATATAGCTCATATCCCTCTTCTCACGGCACTGGGTGCGGCACTCTATGGGAGAAACATGACCCGGGAGACATGGGCTTGGCTCCCCGGGAGCTCACTATCTGGTCGCAGCAATATGATACGGCGCCGTGAAATGAACCTGAGACTCCAGGCATCATAAGCTAAATGCTAAATGAGCAAAGAAAAGGATGACAAATGCCAGAGGGATTCAAAACACAGGAGCAGATATTTTGGGAGGCAGCAAACAGGGCTCCACCCCCGATTCAGCACCCAGTCACTGGCATCGGTCCCACAAGTGCCAGATGATGGGGAGGCAAAGCCAGATGCTCTGGAATGAGCAGGCAGGAGGTGGGGGGCGGGGGCTGCTGGCCGGCTGGGCCCACGGGGCTTTGGTGCTGCCTCCTGGTAGTGGCTGAAGCTGCGGGAGGCAGGCGGGGGCGGGCGAGCAGCAGGAAAGCCAGTCACCGAGAACATTCACGCGGTTCCCTGTCATTATCTGAACTTAAACTCATCAACACCCACAGAGCCCTGAAATCCCTAGGGAGGCAGCAGACAGAGGAGCCACTTCCGAGTGGGGGAGGCTGGTGCGTGCTCTGTGAGGTTTCTGGGTGGCTTCACATCAACGATGCATGTGGGCTTAGAGAAATAGAGTGCGGTGAGGGGCCGTTCCAGCAGGAGCAGAGAGCCCAGCTTCCTGTACACTGGCCCCTGCTGTGGACTATGCTGGGGCTTGGGGACCCGAGCAAAGGCACATCATTCCCTTATCATTTTTGACAACTGCCCAGTGGGCTGGCTGTTAGTGAACACCAGAATCCCTGAGGATTTGCCACTGACCAGTCTGGGCAAGACCATTTTTCAGTGGCAGAAAACACTGCAAAGAGCCTGAGGTGAATCACGGCAGGAGCAGTTGTACGTCCCCACAGCATTTGCATCTAGTGGTTAATCGGGCAAACGGGCAGAAGAAAGGTTGAGCTGAGGAGGGCAGGCTGAGAAGTGGAAAGAGGCGACCCCATCTCGTCACTGGGGACCCTTTCCTCCCCCTAAGAGGGTTCCATGGTGCTGGGCTTGGTAGAGACTAGAGGAGAGTACAGAGTATCCTTGGAGGTAACGGCAGAAAGGCAGAAAAGCCAGGCCCCCACTACGGGAACAAGCCCAGTGGAAGACTTGTATTCTCCACCTTCTTCCCTCCCCCATTGCACTCATCCCCCAGTCTGTGGTCAGACGATGAGGGGGTTCCTGTCTGGGGCACCTTCCAAGCATCCAGCAAATCACCCCTTCTCCACCTCTATTGCTCCACCCTGGTGGTGGCCACGGCCTTCTCCTGCCTGTGCTGCTAAAATTCCCCCCACCCAGCCTTCCTGATTCTAATCACGCCCCATAAACAAATAACGTGGATTTTACCTTTCCCTTCTGGAAAGGCAAAGCTGTCAGAAATGCAACACTGTGTGGGTGTGCGTCACCCTCCTGTTGAAACCCACCTGATCACAGCCCTTAAAGCACTGAATGCCCTGGCACACACTTCCAGGTCCTCCTGGAATATTCTCACTCCAGCTGCACTGGCCTTCGTTCGGTTCCTCAAGGGCCCCACACTACTTTCTGCCTTTGGGATTTTGCACAGGCTAATCCCATTATCTGGAATGTTCCTTCCGCTGTTCTCGGCCCTCAGGACTTGGCTGAAATGAACAGATCTTTGACTCCCTTATTCACCCTGTATCACTGAACCTGTATCATTGAACCATCAATGGTGAGAAGTACCATTATTGTACGCACCACTCAGAAAGTAAAAATGCTACTCATTATGGCCCGAGGACTCATCTATGACAAACTACATCTTGATTTCAGAAGTAATAAAATGTTTAAAAAATACGTGTCTAAAATCAATGACGTGCGGCAAGCAGATTTTTCCCATTATTCCCTGTCACTGTGCCTCGCAGCAGCAAAGACTCGCTCAGTGCCGGCTGAGCTCCCTCCTCCGTTCTGCTGAAGCATCAGGAATAAACGAGAACCTTTCAGCATTGCAGGCAGGTGCCCACTCCTGCTCTGTAAGGCGGCGGAGCACAGGGTTCTGTAGAAAAGAGCTCTTTGGCTCTCCGTGGTGAAATGGTGCTCTTATGTGGAATTCCGTTTCATAAGTGTTTCATCGTTAGTTACTCTCTATAGCACCCTAGGCTTTGCTGATGAGAAAACTATATGTGGGGATTGGAATTCCAAGGCTAACAGGAGCTAGGGCTTGAGTCTAGAACAGAGCACACCTTTTTTTTTTTATACATATAAAAAATAAAGGCCAAATCGTAGATATGTCTTTTGTTGTTGTTGTTTTCAGGTTGTTGTTGTTGTTTTCAAGTAGGCTTCATGCCCAACGTGAAGTCCAATGTGGGGCTTGAACTCAAGACCCTGAGCTCAAGACCTGAGTTGAGATCAAGGGTCAGATGCTTAACTGACTGAGCCACCCAGGCACCTGTAAATAGTAGATATTTCTTGCTTTTCAGGACACAGAGTCTCTGTAACAATTATTCAACTCTGCCATTGTAGCGTGAAATAATATGTCAAAGAATGGGTGTGACTGTGCTCCAATAAAACCTATTTCTAAAAACAGGGGTGCACTGAATCTGGCCTGTGGACTGTACTTTGCCAACCTCTGGTCTAGGATTCTACATTCAGAGGATCCTCTGGGGTCATGTGTTGACTTTCTCAAGGTCATACAGCTGGTTAAGTGAGGCTAGGATCCCAATCCAGGTCTCCAAACCCTTGTCTAGTGCAGTTTTCGCTACAGGGGTAATGCTTCCTCTTACTGCTCCCATAATGTCCCTATTATATTCACTGACAATCCCAGACCGTGGGAAAATATGTGCTGTTAGGCAGAGAGAACAGAAAAGAAAGAAGATTGATAAAAATTAGTTTCTTTTGGGGCATCTGGGTAGCTCAGTTGGTTGAGCATCCGACTCTTGATCTCAGCTGAGGCCACGATCCCAGAGGTGTGGGATAGAGCCTCACGTCAGGCTCTGTGCTGAGCGTGAAGCCTGCTTAAGATTCTCTCTCTCTCTCTCTCTCTCTCTCTCTCTCTCTCTCTCTCTGCCGTTTCCCCTCCCCCCCAAATAAAAAATAAAAAAATAAAAAGTAAAAAACAAATTAGCTGCTTTCATCTCGTTTTAATCAGAAAGTTTAGAATAGAAAGAATTATCAACTCTGAGTTGCCCTGCTTCTAAACGCCATGCCCCTAGTGACGGTGAGTGAAGCTAAGGGTTACTTTTTCCTTTGCCTCCTGGGTCCCTTGGGCTGCAACAAGTCAGTGTTCTATGGGAAAAGTCACCACCATTCTCCTTTCTAAGTTCAGCTTTCCTGGCAAAGACACCTTTTGCTCTAATCAGTCGAACTATTAACTCTAATCAGCACAGAGCAGGCAAAACGGGGCTGGTGTTTGGGGGAATTAGCTTTAATTTGCCAGATGTTATTTGTTTCTGTCTATTGACCACAGAGGTGCAGAGATTTAACTCTATTCCTGCTTTCAGGGTTCCTACGGTTGAGCTGTGGAGACAAGGCATAAACACGTTCAGGCGTTAAATAAAATGCAAAACCTGGTTCAGTGCAGTAAGAAAAATGCATTTGCATGCATGGATGCACACCCACATACATCCTTCCAGTGAGCAAACTATAATTATTAGAGACTGCATGGTATTAAGCCACTTTAGGAGAAGCTTCTTTTTCTTGAATATGGCATAATCTCTCTCAATCCCTCCTTCCCATCATGTCCTTTCTCTTACCATGCAGACCAGTTTCAGTGCTCTCTTTCCTGCCTACGGACAATGCCCAGAGGTCCCGTGGTGTCTAAGAAACCAGGGCCACTTCAAAATGCCTTGCCAGCCAGACCATCTATCCCTGCTGGATGTCTTTAATTTCCTACAGCACATAAAAGCTTTTGAAATGTGTCCTTTCCTTTCTTTTGCAACAGAAGCTCTACTTTCCGGTGAGGACTATTTGTGGGGCAGATATCCTCCTCACAGAAGAAGGGTAGTCCGAGGATTTAGAATCCTTCTGGATTCCTCCGCTAAGGGGGAAGGGGCCAGTTCTGACCGCTATACACTGGACATTTCATCTGTTTATTCCACAAAATAGATGGTGAGTGTTTACTCTGTGGAGGGTGCTGTGTGTTCCTGGATGGGTTTTTGTCTGAGATGAGATTTACAGGTGCAGAAGATATTCGTTAAATGCCTCCAACAACAGAATAATAGAACAAATTTATACATACTGCTGTCATGATAAAAACAACCCCCCCAACCTGTGAAGATAGCAGATGAAGACTTCTCTGATTTTCATCTGATATTTTGCATTTTTCAGTTACTCATGAAATGAGATGCCCGGCCTTCCCCTCACGACGCAGCAGAGCAGAAAATGGCGGTGGAGCTAATGTCTCCAGGTTATTTCCCTAGAGCCCTGGGTATGTCATATCTGTTCTCATTCAGGTAGCGGCTGCTTCCAGGATCTGCCCTGCTCCTCAGCCCCTGGCCTGAGGATGCTCCCGGGCACTGCTCACGGACCAGACAACCAACCGGCAGATGTGAGAGCTGCAAGGGGCTTCGTGACCTCATCTGGGACCATCCCTCTCTGAGCTGCTGTGCAAAGTCAGGAGGTTCTGGAGGCCAGCACTGCCTGTAGCCACCGGAAGAGCCAGAGGGCCATAGCCCAGAGCTGGCACACTCCCTGCCCGGGAGCGCTGCTTCTCCAGCTGACTCACGACGCTTTGCACCTGTACCTGCATCTTGGCTGCTGGAGCCTGCACTCATTTCTGATTCTGCTCCAGGTTTGGAGCACCCTTCCTCTGCTCCCTCGTCTGCTGGATTAGCTCCCAGCTCTCTGCAAACAACCGTCCTGACAACTCCGGCTCCAGTTTCTTCTTTTTGAAAACTGGTAACGGGGAAACACTGGGGGCAGAGGACTCCAACTCCAACCCCGCTGATCCCGTGAACGGTTCCATTTACGCCCAGCTCAGTTATTAGCAATCGCTTTTCAGGGACAAGGCTGGGACCAAGCCTCCTGGTAACTGTATTAACAGCTGCCACACTAAGGAACAACTGGTAAAGGCAGCTTTAATACCCTAAAAGCCAGGACCCCCAAAGATAATGCCACTGACTTTATCTGACATTTCAAAGCGGGTGAACTTACTCATTAGCAATCACAAGTTTTACAGTTCAGATTTTTTTTGCTAGTAAACCTGTTATCATTTTAAGGGCATCAGGTATTACAGTGAAACTCCTAAATTTGCCCAGAATCATAATGCTTTTGCCATTATATTCATGGCTCATGTTTTAACTCCTTGCATATCCTAACAAGCTGTATTGTAACAGGGTAGTGCTATATTTGAAAAGTGACTTCACTTAGCCCAGAGATATAGAAAGACACTGACTTAATGGGGGAAATCCTGGTTTTTCCTTCTGTCTCTGCTTAATTTGGGCTTGTCATTTCAAAAGGATAAGATCTGCTAGGATGATGTCAGAATCATTGTCTGCATGGACCTGGTTATTCCTGGATTTTCACCATGGAGTCAGACTTCCCAAATGTCAAAATGAATTTGACCATGGCCTTGGCTGTTCCCTTGTCTTTGTCATAACAACCAGTAAATGCGTGTCAGCCCCTAGCTTCCTGGTTACTTTTCATTCCTGCTATTGCCAGTTTGCTCCTGGATTTGATCAACCTAGGTTTGAGTGTGAATTAATCTTGTAATCGCCTCTAAACTGTGATCCCCCCCCAGTATTTTTAAGAATAACTATGGTTTTTGTGAAAACCATACATTCTCATTGAAATTAATTCAAATAACACAAAGGTACTGAGATGAAAGTTTAAAAATCACCTGATCTACTCACTCAGAGATACCCACTGTTAACTTCTTGGTAAACAGTTTTTTAGGCATGTAGCACATATGTTATATAACATACCTATATATATATATATATATATATATATATATATATATATACACACACACACACACACACACACACACACACCCATACGATTTATACATTTTATAAATACACATTTTATAAAAAGTACATTTCAGGGGCACCTGGGTGGCTCAGCTGGTTAAGTGTCCAACTGTTGATTTCACCTCAGGTCATGATCTCGAGGTTCTTGAGAACAAGCCCTGTGTTGGGTTCAGCGCTGACAGTGACGAACCTGCTTGAGATTCTCTCTCTCTCTCTTTTTCTCCCTCTCTCTTTGCCACTCCTCTGCTCTTGGGCTCTTTCTTTCTCTCTCTCTTCCAAAATAGGTAAAGAAACTAAAAAAAATTAAAAATACATTTATACAATTTTACAAATACAATTTTACAAAATTTTATAGAGTTTTATAAAAATGGGATTTACCATACATGCAGTTCTGTGGCCGGCTCTTTTTACTCAACTGTAGGTCCTTATTGGGAGAGAGAGCTCTCCCTGGTCTCTGTGCTCCTACCTGGCTTTCTGGGTATGGCAAAAATGCGAGGCATTTCTCAGGATGTGTTTGTAGTAAGCAACCTTGAGGCTATTTTCCTCGTGGACTAAGGACAGGCTTGCTTACTGCTTGCAATAAAATGGTGGGTTCAACTGAATGTCAGCTGAACCCCTATCAGACAGAACAGAATTTACATGTCCATAGACAGGAATTATTTTGCATTGTTGTCAATTATCTACAATTTTTCAAGAAGTAAAACCTTTTCCATCGAATCAGATAACCCCAAGGGTGTCTTCTAGAGCCTAGATAATACAGGTTTTTGCCGAAGCGCACTTTTCCGTACAGCGCTCGGCAAACACTTAGCAAACTCCAGCTTCCTGTCTCAGAGAGTAGTAACTAGAACTGGGTAAAAAACTGGAGAACATCAAAGGGCAGGGAAGCCTTGAGTTCTCCCTAAGAGCAGGGAGCTTGGTTTCAGAGCTGGGGGGGAGGGCAGGCACTTTGGCGGGCGCCAAAGAGGAGAGGGTGACAGGGGTGAGACCCTGTGACCTAGTTCCGAACGCTCCCACTATATGTGCTGCTTACGGATTTCTGTTCAAACCTAGTTGAATTTCACGAAGCAAATCGGATGTCCCACCAGATTTGTTAAAATTGGGTTTTAACTAATGCATGAAAATAAAAAGTGGGCAAACCCTAAAAATGATACAGAGTTTCGGGCAAGGGAACTAGAAGTTCTGTCTTCTCTCTTATGATGTTCCAGTTTGATTTCCAGATGCAAATTTTCTCAGTGGAAGTGCCCACAGGTCAAAGGTCTGAGACCTGCCAAGAATCTCTATTTCATGCTCTTTTCATGGTAAACAAACAAACAAACAAACATGAAAAACTCAGTCTTTGTCCTCAGACTGTGCTAGAGGGCCTTCCCCTTCCTCCGTCTCTGGAGCTGCATTTTGATGAGACCCCGAGGGGTGGCTTTGAGGGGGATGCAGAAAGCCAGCACTCCAGTTTGAGCTGGGTTCTTTTAATTTTATTTTTTTTCCTTCTGGGCCTCGGCAGCTCAGGGAGCTCCAGCTGAGGGGTTTAGCTCATTTAACACTCCCTGTTCTGAAGCATGACTGCTTGTGGCTTGTCAAGTCCTGATGAGATTCAGGGGCATAAAAAACGACGTGTGCGGTGACCATAAGGCTGCCTTTGAAAGAATAACAGCTCAAAAATAAAAAAATAAAAAAAATAACAGCTCGTCAGTGAGGATAATTCCACCTCTGCCACTTGCCCTGTGTCAGCTTGAAGGCCCCTTTCAACCATTTCCTGAGCATTCATTCAGCAGCACTTTTGTTAAGCACCTGTTGTAGGTTTCAGACCTTCAAAGATGAGCAAGAACGGAATTCACTTGTCATGAGGTTTGCTGTCTAGGGCACGATAAACACCAAAGCAGACCCCTGTAAGCAGCCTGGCGGTGGCCAAAGGCGCACAATTAAGAGAAAAAAGCAGCGGACCTGTGGGCCTGAGTAAGACCCAATCCCATCTGACTCTTGTTAGAGCTATTTATACGTTTAGAGAGATAGAAGACATATATGCTTACATATGCAGGGAACATTTCTGGAAGCACGCAGGATAACTGGTTATTTCTGGAGTCTTGGCTTTGGGGAAATAGACAAGGAGGGAGATTTTTACTTTCGACTTTCTACCCCTCCATATGTTCAAAAATCATTCTTTTTACAAAGAATATACATTACTTATGTAACACAACAACAACAACACAGAGTGGCAGTGCCGTTAAAAGAGATCTACACAACGAGTTTTGGGAACAAGACAAATCACCAGATCCAAATTCAGGAACGTACCAGATTACTTTAGGAGGAATCAATTTTTTCTTTGTCTTCTGGACTCTCATAGGTTTTTGCTTACACATTTATCATATGTGGCACTTATCCTCCTCAACCAGTGCCTGTCGGCCCCCCTGCCTTTCTCCCTTTGCTCCCTCCCTCCTTCCTTCCTTCGCTCCTCCTTCTCTTCCCTCCTCCCTTCCTCCCTCCCTCCTCCCTTCCTCCCTCCTTCCTTTCCCCCTCCCTCTGTTCCTTCCCTCTGTTCCTTCCCTTCTTCCTTCTACGAGTGTTTGTTGAGCTTCTACTATGTGTAAGGCAGATGATTCAATATTGTATTATAATCAAGTTTGCCTTCATACGACAGAAAATAAAAAAAAAAAAACAAATTAGTGACTTAATAAACACAAGTTTATTTCCCTCACACACTAAAGTACTTCAGAGATAAGCACCCCAGGGCTCATATGGTAGCTCTAGAGTCGTCAGAAAACCAGGCTTCTAGCATGCTCTTCTACCATCCTCGGCATGGCAACTCAGGATCTAAGATGGCTGCTCTCAGCGCGCCTGGGTGGCTCAGTTGGCTAAGTGTCTGACTTCGGCTCAGGTCATGATCTCGTGGTCCATGAGTTCGAGCCCCACCTGTGCTGACAGCTCAGCGCCTAGAGCCTGCTTCAGAATCTGTGTCTCCCTCTCTCTCTGCCCCTCCCCTGCTTGCACTCTGTCTCTTTCTGTCAAAAATAAATAAACATTAAAAAAAAAAAAAAAAAAAGATGGCTGCTCTAGCTCCAGCCCTAGTGTTCAAATTCCAGCAAACAAAAAGGGAGAATGGAGAGCGGCTCATGCTCACCTTTTTCTGGGACACATCCCAGAACTACCACACTACACTCTGCTTAAATCTAATTGGCCGGAACTAAGTCACATGGTCATATCTAGCTTCAAGGGAAGCTGGGACATATAATATTTCAGCTGGGTGCATTGCCCCCCCTTAGTAAATGTAGGATTCTTTTACTAATGAAAAAGTGGACACTAGCTATTGAGAGGTCTTTAGCAATCTCTGCTGCACATAGGAGCCAAAAAAGAGAGTTCCTGCCCCTATGGTGCTTACATGTAGTGGGTGAATTAGACATTAATCAAGCAATCATGAAAATAACTGCAAAATTGCACACTGCAGTGAGGTAAAGAAAAACTTCACTGGGTTCTAGAAATGTATAGAAGACCTGACCTACTCTTGGAGAAAGCCTTCTCCAAGGAAGTGTGTAATGAGGCTAGAGAAGTAGGCAGAGGTCAGCAAGGCAGAGCTTTGTTTTCTGTGTCAAAGATTTTGATCTTTATCCTAAAACAAAAAGGGCGGCCACGGAAGGGTTTCAAACAGGGTGTGGTGTAACATTATTACCCTCCCATGCTTATGCTTGGAAAGACCTCTCCGACAGGTCAGTGCAGAAAGTGGATGCGGAAGAGTGGAGGGATGACCATAGAACTCGGGCTGCCCTGTTTTGGAAACTGGTAGTGGTCAGCGGTGGAGCTGCTCGGGGTTGTGCTGTTTGTCTTATTCTGTCCTATCCAAGGAGAGAGGGGGCCTGCAGCCACATGAAAGGAAGACCTGCATGGAGTCATGTGAAGCCATGTGTTATCCCCTCAGGCGTAACATAGCCTGGTGAACATGGTGAGCTGCCTACCCAACACCCGCCCCTCCTACCTTGTTCCTGCTGGTGGATCTCTGATGTACTCAATTGCATGAAGTCAAGAAGGTAGATCCCTCCTCCAGCCCCTGGGGATGACTCATGACTGCTCTAAAATTGATATAGTAATTCTGCACCGCTTCCCAGGCACTTTCCCAGCCTTTCTGTAGCTAGTGGTGATCTAGTGACTTAATGAGATTACAGGGGTGGGGGGCGGTTCTTGCCTCATTGCCCTGTCTAGATCTTCAAGTACCATGTTGAATAGATGTAGTGAAAGTGGGCATCTTGCCTCGTCATTGATCTTAGAAGAAAAGTATCCAGTCTCTCATCATTAAGTATGATATTGGCTGTGGTTTTTCATAGATGCCCTTTATCAAGTTGAGGAAATTCCTTCCTATTATTATTTCTATTCTAGTTTGTCGAATGTTTTTGTCATGAAAGGGTGCTGAATTTTGTCAAATGCGTTAATTGCGTCAGTTGAGACGATCGTGTGATTTCCCCCCACCTTCCTTCCATTAACGTGTATTACAGTGATTGCTTTTCTTGTGTTGAACCATCCTTACGTTGCTGGGATAAATCACACTTGGTCACAGTTTATAATTCTTTTCACATGTTGCCAAATTTGGTTTGTATTTTGTTGATGATTTTTGCATGAATATTCATAACAGCTATTGATTTGTAGTTTTCTTATAGTATCTTGTTTTGA